TTCCAGCCAACGTTCTGCATACTGCACACCCAGACATGCCGGCGCATTCGCCACTGTGTGTGTGCGGTTTGCTGGATGTGTTCTCCGATCCGGGTCCTGCCTCGGAGCTTGGACTGAATCCACGCAGGGTGTGCACATTGCCCTTGCACTCAGAGCGACGCCTGCTCGACACGACATTGTGCACCACATCACAATGTGTTCTCATGCTCGTTCCGTGCGTCTAAACGTGCGCACCGCGTTACATCCCTGTCCATCCACCTATTTCCTCGGTTCGATTCGCCACGCGTCGCCGTGGCCGCTGCTGTGACTTCCCGAGACTGTGCTTGCCGGACCGACCGAATAGATTCAAATTGGCGGGTCGCATTCGCCGTTTCATGCCCCTAGCACAGTGTTTTCCGCCGCCGTTCTGAGAAATAATAAAATGAGGAGTGTGGAGCGAGAACTCAAGCCTGTAGGTCAAGGTCCACCCACCCTATAGTGTAGGACGCCATCGGCGTGAACACGGACACTATTTGCGCGGCAGGTTGTGATCATGCTAAGTCCAGAGAACGGTACCGTGACGGCTGTTTAGTCACAAGTTGGTAAACGAACCACCATGGGCTGCAAAGAGGTGCATGTCAGCAAGTAAGTTCGAGGTAACGCCAGCCACAAAGCTCCACGATTGCAAACTTCCTCCTATTTTGTGTCTCCGCACGGCTAATTAAAGGCATGTCCCATTGAAATTGGGGACTGAATCGAAAGATGAGATCGATTTGTTAGGCAATCTACGCACAATCCAGGTTCAAGACATGGCCCCTGCGCCCCCGATGGCAATCACATATGTACCCGCGAACGAGGAGTTTAGTTAAGCTGTACTCGGGCTCGCAAAGGCACCGTCGTTGAACAATTAAGTCAGCGCGCGGTAGTCCTGGAAGCCAGTTCACCAGCGGGCGGGCCGCGGGGCTGGGTTTGTTGCCGCGTACCCCACAGGTATGTCGTTGTGTTCCTCCCGCTGAGGGACAGCATCAGGCACTTCTGCGCTAGGAGAAGATACATGTTGCACCACTTGCCTTCTTGCCGCAGGGCTTAGATTCGCTGTGCCTGCATTCAGAGTTCCACGACTCATCGAAGTGTACACCAGCGTGAATGTGGCGGCCTACCGCGGTGGCGTATCTATCTCGCGGATATTCGTCGGAGTGACGGGGACCTGTGTTTAGAGTTATAGGCGGCAATGACCTGGCAAGTCCGCAAGCGCCAGGGCAAGAATGACAGCCGCAGCGTATAAGAGCATCAGGTATCGATAGAGACGTAGCGGCGGAGACTAAGCATTGTAAGAGACACTCGGGGGCGAATTTAGTAATGAATGTGCACTGACACCGGGAATTTGGGTCCTTCGATCGTTAATATGACAGGAAGGCGAGTGGGGCCGAGTGCGAGGTGGTTGTCCACCATTGGTAGTCGCGGAGCATTGTAGTATGAGCAGGTCACGGGTGCTTCGTGGGTATACTAGTGGTTGGTAGGATTTGAATGCTCTGCGGCACACTGAAAGTAAACTTTGATAAGAAGATGCATAAAAAGAGAGACGAGTGACGCACCTTACGCGGCCGTGTGAGCCACGGGACACATGATGTGAACGCTCCTAGCGCGCTGCACGCAGTCCGAAATGTGGAACCTGCTGCAACCTGCTGTATGGGAACCGGGAGGCCCTCAGGGGCCTTGTCTGTGGGTAACCAGTCTAACCACGGCCGTTCCTGAAATTTGGTTTTGCCGCTTTTACTGCCGCAATTGGACGCAAGACTGAAGCGGAGGTCGTTTCCAGAGACGTAGAGTTGAAATAATGAAAGAACTTGTATCGGCCCGACTTGCATGTGCTTGTAAGATCCTGGCGAGATTGAGAGCAAATTGGGAGAGCTTGTAAGTTGTCGCTTGTTTGTGACTGTCCTGCAAGGATCTTATAACGTGATCCTCTTATAAGACTAAAAATAAATTTCCGACATAACAGACATCAACTGTGATCCTTTTGTTTCTCCGAGTCCCTCTTGAATGCCAAGCTGAAAGCTGGTAAGCTCGTATGCACTGATCCCACAGTCCAGCAACGTCCCGGATGATCAAGTACTTTCGGTGGCTCAAACTCGACCAGCTTTTCGTCCCAATCGATTGAACGATTAGCAGTCGATTAGCGACGAAAAGCCATCATCATCCTCACCAGCCTTCACCCTGTTCGGTTTGGAGGATCTCCTGAATCCAGCCACACCTGGGATTGACGAGATGGACCCTGGACTGGGCTGCTCAAATAAAGGTCCCAGTTCAGGTCCTTTCATAGGTTCAGTCTGGCCCATATTCTGACCCGATGAATGTTGTGCACCCTTCAATACTTCGCCGAACTTTCACGGTCGTCCTACATTTGCGAGATCAAGTCACGGATGGACGATGCTCTTCGTTCATTTTTCCGGTTCCTTGAATTTGCGCTGCGTTTATCAGGCGATTCCAGAAGTGAATATTTACCCATTCCTCTGTTCGCAGTAAACGTGTCGAGACAGAGTCGAGCACGGCCAACTGCAGGCTCTCTTATTGCAGTGAGTAACTTTGACATCGACGGCGAAGAAGGCTCCCCCAAACCTGGTACATCTCAGTATCTTAACTTGCATCCGCATTGGAAACATAATACAATACAGCCAAGCATTAACTGCATGGGCTTCAAATGAGCTTTCCAATAGTCTTGCCAAATCGCGATGGGACTTGTGCACGTGTTGGTCGTTTCCTTATTCAACAAGGGATTTTGTTGGATAAGAGACATTTACAAGAGGCGCAATTCCTTCTTTTTCTGTACAGGTCATAAAATTCGGACCAAGTTTTGCTACATTCCGGAAGTATCTAAAAAGTATACATGTTACGAAGAGTGATTCTAATGCTTTCTTGCATTTCTACAGTTCCATGCGATAATACAAATGAGGATTCAGGTTCTTTCATTTATCGCTCTTAGCAGACGAAGCGCGAGAATGGGATCCAAAGGCTACAAGAGAAGAGGTGGCGCCATGATTTGCCGCAAAAGTCGAGAAGTCCTAGAACCCGATCAACTTCATTCAGAGATCGTCGAGTGCGGCTACGTACCGAGCTCTCTGAAGGTAATATCAGCGGTGCATTATTGATTTGCGTAAGGGGGCGGCGTGAGGGATTTGGTGACCGGCGCGGGTCATCGGATTCGTCCACCTAAAGATAGACTGTAAAGATTGTGGCATAAAAAATACTATCACGACGTACGAGCACGTTATCCAGACTCTTCTGCTATCGTCGTCAGGATTGTATGTTAAATAGCACGGAGAAGCCATACCTCAACAGGCGAGTTGGTATTGATGTTTTCAGAAGAATAAACCCATAGCTCCTGTTGGTTTTGGTCGACCAAGAGCTCCTGTTCCAGGTGTGTAGCCGGCGAGGCCATGGTGGTGTTTTCGTAAGGGAAACCCCATAGCTCATGTTGATTTTGGCCGGCCAAAATGTCGTGTTCGAATTGTACTGCCCTAGATTCGTCTGCCGTAGTATGTACCTCTAGAGAATATATGGCCATGTTTTCGAAGGATGCTACCGATGGCTCGGGTTCTCCTTGCTGAGCCAATAGCTCCTCTGGCTCAATAAGAACCTGTTGCCAGAATGTGAAACGGTGCGCATGCTGATTTGTACAATAAACCGTACCTGAGCAATCGTGTCAACTGTGAATTGATCAGACAAAATAAAATCCGCTAATTCTTTATAACTTTCAACGACTTCCGGCGCAGGAGTTTGAACTTCCTGTTTATAAATGCGTAAGTCTCATTACCTCGTAGTAATATTATACGAACCGCGGCAGGAGTGGTAGTAGCGAGCGTCGGAGCCTTCGTCTTGCGTTTTTCCGCCTCTTGAAAAGTTCGAATGTTCTTCAAAAGTTGTACATCTGCTGAGAGTGAGTAATGAGTGCGAAGGATTAATATTGACATACCTTGAGTACGTCGCGGGATTTTCGAACCGCCAGATGTGCTGGACTTGGACCCCGAACGCAGATTCGAGGATTTTGGGGGAATGTACCAGGTCGCCCAGCTGGCAGTGTTTCAGCACCGGCAGAAAGAATCCAAACATGATCGAAAAACGTACTTGGACGAAACCGCGTCCCCTGCTGCCCGTACAAGGGGTTCCAGTATGGAGACAAGCCACGCGTTCACAACCGCCGTTCTTGTGGTGGGTGGGTATTTATACCACACTGCTGCTATAAACGCATAAAATCCCTCGTCGACCTTGGACACGTCGTTCTGCAGGATCGTGCGCTCTGCCGCCGCCAGAAATGTTTTCATAACTTCGTTTGACTTGAAACATCCCTCCATACCCTAGGCGAGTTGCGTGGTGATCAAGAGAGGCTGGTATACAATCGTGTACGCGCGCGCACCTTAGCGAACCCCACCGGTTTCCTCGCCAAATGAGGCTCTATGGAGAGCATGATAGCAAATCCATATAGCCACAGCCCAACAAATTCGTAGTTGTCGAGCTCGGTAGCCGTGGGAGGTGGGCCATTGAGCGGGCTAGCGACGACGATTTCCGAAGCGGCTGGTGCTGGCTCGGGAAACAAAGGGTCCCAGTCTGGATCGTCGAGCACAGGAAGCGGAAGGATAAGCGTGTCCGAGGACTTAATTTTTGCTATAACCGTATCTTTTATAACTTTTTGCATGGCGGCGAGAGGAGAAGAAAACTATGCAGGAATAGGCCTGGGCCAACAGGGGATCAACGTCATTATCAGTGATTCCATCTGCACTGCCACTGACGCGTTTGCAGACGGCGTCTTCCCGATGGAGAATCGCCATGTTGATTAGGTTTGATTCCGTCTGATTCCGCTGACTGTGTATGTACCAGGTTGTATTTTTGCTATACAAAAATCCCATGTTAGATGTTGTTTGATGCCTCTGAGAAACTTCCTAACGGTGAAGCTATGATATCGATGTGCACGCACATACAAGTATTTACAATGTACTCACTTTGAGGACGACGCGCTGAAGTGCGCCCATGGATCAGCGGTATAGATCGTCCGTCTGCGTTTAAAAGCGTAGCCGGAAGGACGGGGGTTCGAATCCCCTTCTGGGCCGCAGGGGAGCCGGGCCCCGGTGTAAGCCGTTGACACAAGATACGTGCGCGCGCCGCGAGAAACTACAGTTGTCTCTCCCCGACTATAGCTGCGTTTCATTCACACAATCATGCCTATGTTTTTCTGCTAGTAGCAATATATGTGAGAATTTAGTCCATTTTTTTTCGAAGTTGACATAAGATGTGAGGCTGCTTTATGGCCCGTTGAACATTGTTCACGCCTCCTACAGTTTTTAACTTGACAGATGTAGTGGGCCTGCAGTACGGTGTCCGCATATTCTTTGAGCGCCGCCGCTTCTCTTCTCGACCCGCTGCATAATGTAATCATAAGCAGGTTGATGCTTCCGAGAGAGCATAAATTTGAGACACTGTAAGTTTCCACGGTACAGACCCATTCCTGTTACTTCCTGTTTCGTGGTAAGGAGAAGCATCGGACTCTTGATGAGAGCCAGAACTTGCCCAGCATGAGAAAATTGCTTTGAGGGTTGGCCGAAGGCTCGATCGGGTTTACCAAGACGCTTGCCATTGTGAATGGGGAAATATACTTAGTTTTTCATATCCGAGTCCAGCCAGCCAAAACCAACCGTGGGAACTGGTTAAAACTTTCAGATCACATGGCTAGATGTTTAAAAACAAGTCGCTACATGGTGTATAATTGATACAGTAGTGAAAGCACGACTTTCAAAGTATAATACAGGAACCATTTGGACCCAATCTCGAAGCCCGAAATTCATGAAAATCGATGTTAGTGATAGCAGACTCGGAAATTTACTTGTCCCACCCCGGCTGCCACCCGGATGATTTGACATCCTCCAATGATCGTTCCTGCGACATATACATATAAGCAAGTGAGAAAACGGATCATGTAGAGTTACTTCGATGGTCCCTGGGATGGCGACACATGGGTGATGATCTGGGTTTGCACATACACTTGGTCTTTGCCATTACCACGGACATTCCCCAACTCCAAATCACCCCGCTCGGTAAATGTTTTGATCAAAAGAACTCCATCAATGAACGGAACCAACCTTGGTGGTTCGGAGTGTGATGTTTCCCCCCGACCCGGAAGAAGTAGTCATGTGCTCTTGGTTCAAAGCCTGATTCTCGCGATAGTTGTTGATGCAGTTAAGGGTGTAGAGAAGGCTGATAACGTATAGTTTGCTCAGGCTGCGAGGGGTGAGAAGGAGGTTTGGGAGTGTGCAAGCACTGCTGCTTACGCGTAATTCAATAGCAGATGCCCTGTGAATAGTAATCAAGTTGATTTAAGCCAGATGAGTAGCCACGAGAACTTACATAGCAAGTAATTGCTGTTAAGAGTTCGAGTCATTATCAAGTCAATGGCCGCCACGATCTAAAAAAAGCAAATATAAATCAAGGAGGAGATAATGTAACAAAAAGTTGAGCTACCGTTGGCGGAACGGCGTTCTCAAAAACGAGCCGCAGGAGTCGATTGATGAGGGAGCTAGTTCTTGTGGAAAGTGACGTTAATTTGAGGATTTGCGAGTGAAATAATTTAAACTTACGATGTTAGGCCGCCTGAAGTTCGACTACGCAGCGCATAGCATGCTCCAACGGTGATGAAAAAGTCGGTTGAGAAAGCGCAGGCAAGATGGACCTATAATGTGTCAGAGTCACAGTTGATGGTGTTATTGGTCAATTATTGGTTGAGATATACCAAGAGCCACATGACTTTTGCCTTCGCGTTGGAAACAACAATAATAGCGTTCAACGATTCGGCAAAAGCCCGCAAAACCGAGGAGCGTTGAACAGCCAGAGTACATTGCGAGCGAGGAGATAAATTCTCAATGCGAAAAATGACTGGACGACAAAGCCAGTTATACCCGTCTAGAAGATAGTTAAATGTCTTCGGGGATGCCTATCATACAAATACATACCATAAGCGGGGCACTAACCTGCCACAAAGCCTTCGCGACAAGAGTTCGGACGATGTCGGGGTTCATGAATTCTGGCATAAAAATGAGAACCCGAGACCGTGGTCAGCGATTCCTGGCACTGACCTGCTACATTCTGAACCCAAACAATGGCAATACCTTGACTGGTCTGTAATCCAATCCATTAATATTGAGCGCCTGACGATAAGAATAGTTCCTGCACCTTTAAAAGAGACAGCAAGGTCACAAGTACCACGAGCCAGCTATAGTGTCTGCGCACATCCACTCAGTATCCAAGATAACGAACCATAAAATGACCGGTACCTTTTGAGGCCTTCCTGAGACCGCCGAGACTTGAAAAACGTTCCGGCCTGGCAGAGCACAACACCTGTTGTGGGGTACTGAGAGAATGATGGACAGATTCGAGAAACATATATCACCCAGCAGTATCGCGTCAAGAAGTCCTGCTAAAACCTAAAAACCTACTTGAAAGGTTGACGGTGGCGGAACCGGAAGGTTGGAAAATGCGAACCCAGCTTCCCAAGGTTGTTGCGCGATTCCTAACAAACGCTTCTGAGGCTGGTATAAGGTTAATGACCGAGCCAGTCGTGGCCATGATGCCGGCGGCAACAAAGAAGAACGGTCTATGCGAGGCACAATCCGTGTACTTATTGATACCTCACCATTGGGAGCAAGTCAACCCTCGCCCTCGCTGCATGGAGATCGTACGAGAATTTCAACAACCCTGAATTTAGATTTAGAACTATAGGATCCGGTCGTGAGTTGCACGCCGCCGAAAATCCTACGGAACGGAAAGAAAGCAGCGAAAGATCTTGAAGACCTGCAGCACAGATCGCAAAGGTGCCGCATGAGATGCGAATGCACGCGTGGAATGAAGTTTTGCTCACCAAAACCAAGCCCCACTGAGCTGTCGAGTGTTTTGTATTCTGATGCAACCGATCAGCAAGAGGAAATCTGCGAGATCTCAACGCGTTAACGTTATGCGATCTTGTGAAACATGAGCTTGTGTCAAGGGAGTTTGTATGCGGGTCTCTGCATCGTCGCAACGTCATATCACACCGAAGTATACCCGCATAAAATCCCAAGAAAACTACATTTCGACTAGAGCTGTTTTTTTCTCGGCACCATCGAGTTGGCATTTCGGGGCATGAATTCCATCAATCGCGCACCCACAGCGTTGAACCAAGGTCGCGGTTTTCCGAGGGATAGATCCTCGTAGATCGTACATATTTCTGTTCACATGACTCACTTCAGCAACGCGACGATGCAAAAGATTTCAGAAATACAGCAATCAAGCGAAGTGGATTTCCTCGGGATTATAAGGTAGTTTGAGGTGTTACCTGGAAACAACACAGTTCAGTGCAAACATTCGTGGTCGCGACCGTTGATTGTGCCTCGAAATAGCGGATAGACTCTGGTGAATTTGCATGGTGCCCGGCGTGAACATACAGGGGTAGTGTACACGGCCTGCTGTAAGCTGTTGCAGCTCAGCTGGCATAAAAAACTTGGTTACGCGGTACTTGAGGACGCCGGCCGTTGTGTGCCGCCTGGTAGGTTCGGAATAGATATTGCATGAACTTCAAGAAGCAAGGACCGTGGGAAGGTCGAGATCGATCTCTTTTTTTGATGCCACTCGGATCAAGGAGTAGCCTAGGCCGGCCGGGCGGCCTTCCGAATCCTTGCAACTTGAACTGCCAATTACGTCCATGGCAAAGCTCTCAAGTTGTCAAAACGGAGAACTCAAACCTCAATTTATTGAACTTACGGTAAGCCACACATCGACCTCGACAGTCCTAGTAGAGGCGCGAGTTAAGTTTGGCACGAAATTCAAGGTAAACTTGCCACTTCTTCTAAGCCTCGCAGTTCATTCCTCCCAGACCTCCCTGCCCAATTCTTTTGTCGTTATGAAGCGAGCGGTATTTCATTCGCCTTCAAGGTCCGAGTCCCGTGTTGTTCGCTCGTCAACGAATTGACAAGGCGTGGTGCACAAGATATACCTTAGCGACCTGAGGCGTAACCGAAGACAACCGGAGCCCAGATTTCCTTTCCGGCCGTGACCCTCAATTTGTTCATAATAGGGAGGAACCTGTGAAAGCATGTTCGAACTTGAGCGTTCGCACGCAGCCATCCTAGACTTCAACTAGACTTGGCAACAGTTGTCGCCCCGGCCCTTCAAAGCCGGAGGTCAGGTGAATTGGTTCAAGTTCGTGTCCCGGCTCGTCCCGGGTTCCTTCTTTCTTTTCCCCCAGTCAACACCTGAACGATGCCAACCCAAAAAGTCGACGTCGTCGACGATAAATCCGCTGGACAGGTTATCGCCGTTGGGGATCTCGAGTCACGTACGCAAAACCTTCACTCTTTTGAATTTGGCTTGCAGGAGGTGTGCATGTCAGTCTCGGCAAGTCCGGGATGAGCTTGAAGCTCGACAAGACTGGTCTTCCTCTTGCTCCTCAACCCTCAGACGGTGCGTCCGATCTTTTAAACTTTCCCCGGTGGCTCAAGGTAAGCGGACCCGAATGATCAGATCTTGATGGCAGTCTTTACTATTTTATCTCAGGTGGCAATCTTACTGCAGGTCAGTTTTCTCGCTCTACTTGGACCGTTGAATCAAGCAACGGTTATTTGTCTTTCCACCCTTTCCTCGGTTGCTTACAGTCCCCGGCCTTTGTGCCCCTTGCGGCCCACTTTCATGTGACTACCGTTGTCGCCAGGTTTGTTTCCATCTTCAATCCATCCATCATCTCATCTTCATATTTCAGCTATCAGACCACGATTGCCATCGGTTCGTATTTTTGTTTACCATCATCTTTCCTCCTCATCTCGTTTAGCGTTCGCTGGTATTGGTTCATTCGTCTGGGTTCCCCCCGCGAACATATACGGACGTCGCCCAGTCCTTCTCTTTACCATTCTCACCGCGGCCACCTCATCGCTTGGCTCAGGTGAAGCCCTTACCTGGTCTCAGCTAATTGCAACTCGGGTAAGCTGTTTTGCGAAATTTCAACATCGCCCCCCTCGACATGAATTTCAGGTCCTCAATGGGCTCGGTACATCATCCTTTTCACCATCGGCGCTGTGATGGAGTCGGACTGCTTCTTCCTGCATGAGCGGGGCCGGGCAATGGATATTTTCACAGTCCTCCTCACAAATTCGGCCCATATCGCACCTATTCTGGGTATCAAACCAGACCGCTTTATTCCTGGAAACTTCTGACCTCGACCGTAGGTGGATTTTTAGGCCAGTTCGTAAGCTACAGGTAGGCCGTGTTCCCCTCAATACAATACATATTGATTTCTGTAGGTGGTGCTACTATTTCCCGGCGATCCTTGACTTCACGATCGTTGTGGTAATGTTTTTCTGCCTCCCCGAGACTCTGTATGTCCGCGGATCTGCTGCCATCGTCACCGATAAACCGATCCTTCGGAGGATTTAACTTTGGGGTCTTTGACCGAAGGGCAAGCATCTCAAGGCATCCGACTTTGTCCGCCAATTTGTCGTGTTCGTATCCGCCGCTCACTGTTGTATTATTTAATCCAGTATCTCGACGGTTCAAATACCCAACTGCCGTGTTGACCGCTCTCTATTATTCTGTCACCTTCACGCTGGCGTCCATCTTGCCAGCTGTAACATCCACCACTCTCTTCCGTCGACTCTGCAAGTTCAACGCCTCGGAAACCGGTCTCGCGCTTGGTATTGGCACTCTTGTTGGATCCACACTCGGCGAGCTACTGGGTGGTCTCGTCGTTGATAGCTCCATGCACCTCAGTCGCAAGAATCAAAAGGACACGGACATCGTCCCTGAAGTTCGGTACGTCATTTCTTTCCCCGTTCGACTGCGTTTCTCAACTATCCCTGCAGACTCCAGGGTATCTGGGTGGGAACGATACTCCAGCCCGTGAGCCTCCACAATACTTCTGTTCCAGGGAAACTAACTGTCGTTAAGTAGATCGGGCTACTGATCTAGGATTTTGTATTCAATATAAGAGTAAGCGGATCCTATGCTTGATTCATTACCATGTTCAACATTCATGCAGCACCGTACATCGGTCCAACTCTGGGCTTCGGTATCATGTGCTTTGCTATCCAGTGAGTGCCGCAGCGAGTAGGCTATTCTTCGTTCCAACCCAACCCTTTCAGAATCATCAGTACCGTTCTCTACTCGTACAACGCCGATTGCTACAAGCCACAAACGCCGGAGATTGCTCAAGTCCTGAACTTCGGCCGTCAAACAGTCGGAATGACGAGTACGTCCAGTCTGTTCGACTTAATCTGTTTCTCGAGTTCACTTTCCCCTCGCGCAGCCGGTTTCTGGGCCATGTGCGTATTTCAATCCCCCCTGCGGCACTTCGCTGATAATTCAACAGTCCTCTCGGCGACAAGATCGGTTACCAGCGGATGTCAGTGACCATGTCCCCCGTTGGCCTCGTCACCTTCCTGCCTGTCGTCTACTTCATGTTCCACGGAAACAGACCATCTGGGATAAGATGGGTGTTCCGACGTACAATCGCTCCCTTTGAATGCTTCAGGTTCTGGACTCTTGTGACTACATCCTTTGTAATTTCTGTGTATACATACAGCTTTCGGCCGCTCTTTATAGCTGCAGCGGAACTTTGAAATCCAAAATGCAGCAGATGCCTTGGAGTTGTGGATCTGACAGTGTAATGCAAGCGCGAAAAGAGGAAAGGAAGGAGGTAAAGAGCGCAAAAAAAGGTACTTCCGAGTGACAGGATTCGAACCTGTGCCACAAAATGGCCACAGAGAACCCAAACAGGTCAAAAAGAACGACACTGACAGGATTCGAACCTGTGCCCACAAAGTGGAAGAGATACATGTTGGAATCCTGCCAGGTGCCAGGCGATTCTAATCTCTCGCGTTAACCACTCCGCCACAGTGCCATGAATGCCACGCGTTGTGCTAGCGTGTTGAAAAAAAGCGGAGGAAAGAACTTTCCTAATTCGGACGATAGCGGTTGTTTGCTCTTGTGTCTCGCGCACTTCTCCTTACTTCCCCTTACCTGCCCCGCCCCTTGACGCTTACCCCTCACATCCAACGAACAGCAGTGATAATCAGTGACATTATCCGCGAAATGAAATACAAAGCCCGCTCAGCTACTTGGATAGTACGTATACATTGCGACAAGACGAAATACTCCGTCGCGTCAAAGCTTGGCTTGCCTGACAAGGGACCCTCCATGATTCAGCATTGTCGCTGCTTCCCTTACCATATTCTCGACTATCACCTACGATGAGGAGGTAAGCAAACCAAGAAGCCTCGCGCTACTAAACGTACCTTGGCCGGCAAGACCTCATGTATAAGCTACTCAGCAGATGTAAGCACACAGCCAGCTTTGGCATCTTTTGGGACTAACCGCAGCAACACTGCCGATGACCCATCGTGCGCCCTCGACCGTTTTTTCTGGGTGCTTGTCAAGTTCATGTTGGTGTGGAAGGACGCCTTGGGACGTAAGCTGCTCGATCTCTGACTGTCGATTCGTGTTCCTGTGAAATTTATATCTCAATAGCAGCCAGCATTCAAAAACGGCCGCGACGCACCAGTCCTCGACGTACGGCGTGCGCTTGACGCGCATCGGTCGCCCGCTGTATATAAGCGTTGTGACCGCATCATCGAACCCCGCGCTGAGAACATGGTCTTTGTGCGTCTTCGGCGCATTCGCCTCGACGGACGCGAGGAAGCGCGTGCCCACCCCTGCACACAGGCAATGGTGAACTCGTTTTGTGGTAGGGATGGAAAAATGCCCAACTTACAAACTGCCTGTGCGCCCCACATCAAGTTCGCCGCGAGCCCTCGGCCGTCGTATACAGCGCCTGCACCAACGACATATACAGGACCCTTCGTAAGTGGTGACGTGCGGCCCTTGACGGCGTCCACGCACGCCGGGATGAGGATACTCGCCGCGATGGTCCCCGTGTGCCCGCCTGCCTCCGCTGCCTGCGCGCAGATCAAGTCCACGCCCGCGTCGAGCGCCTTCGCCACGTGTTTGGGGTGCCCGACCATGTTCATCACCTACTCCAATAATTGAAACACAGAAGCAGAGCTACTTGATGAAACCGACCGGAATCCCCGCCTTATGCAGCTTCTGCACGACGTCCCGCGGGGGGACGCCGATCGCACACACAAACAGCGCGGTCTTCTCTTCGACGATGACCTCAATAAGCTCCGCCAGCTTGCCTTTAGTGTAGTCCGACTGTGGTAAGTGCAGCATGTGCGCGAGTCAGCCATCGAAAGGAAGTGCATTCATTCAAGCGCGCCAAGACGGACATTGGTTTTACGGGCGCTTCCGCCCACCTGGGGGACCAGCAGATCCACGCCGAAGGGCGCGTTTTTGTCGATTAGATCGCCCTTCAATATGCGTATCTAGGGTACGTGCGCGTTAGTAGCATACCATAACGGGCCAGAGCCCGAGTTCCCCGATGTCTGCTCACCTGCTGACGCAGGCCCTCCGGCGTGAATCCGTACCCACCGATTACGCCCATTCCGCCTGCATTGGATTATTACCATGCCTTCTATAGCTCCCCCCAGTTGAAAGTATTACAACGCGCGACCTACCTGCGTTAGTGACGGCCGCCGCGAGCTCTGGGCCTGCCGCCGTGTCCATCCCAGCAAGAAACACAGGGTGGCGAATGCCAAAAAGCGCCGTTATGGGGGTCGAGATGACGGCCATAGTGAAATCCTAGCGCAAGTCTGAAGGAGGGAGTGTGAGTGGAATCGAAGAGTCAGGTAGTCGAGGGAAGCGGCGGACTTTGGCGTACCTTATGTATGCGTATGGAAGCGGAGAGGATGCCCGAGCGTGTTGTGGGCGCGCCATATATGTATCATCGCTCGGCATCCATGTATATGGCCTCTTTCTGCGCGCTAAGCTAATTTACCAATGACGTTGCCGGCGGCGCTAGATGTGATATTTTTGGTTGATCTCAAACTCCGCGGATTCCGGGATCAGAAACCAACAAGAATTCGTAGAAGAGAACACGATTGGCGAACGAGCGCGCAAGGATCTGTAAGTACCCCGACGCTTGTAAGTAATAGCACGATGAGATAGCTAAGGAAGAAGGAAGGTTCATGGATTTCATACACAGAACGCGTTCATAAAAATAGCATGACTATGTAGGTCAGAAAAATGGAGACCAGACAAGGACGTAGATAGAGCGCGGGAGATAATATATAGAGCCACTCACCCTCGGCCTCTATCTCTCTGGAGCACCACCTTCCTAGTCTCTTGCGCCTTGCCGCTAGTCGGGAACAGCTAGCGCCTGGATATTACGAGCCAGTGCGTCTACTTGACCATCCTCTCGCAGTGCATCCGACGTGTCCGAGCTCTCGTCCTCGTCTTCGCTCCCCTCCTCATCAGACTCCGACTCCTCCCTTTGGTGGTTCGGGTTCACAAACAATAAATCCTCTTCCTCATCTGGCCCGCGTTCTGTTGACATAAAATTAACAGGCGGTAAATTGAGAAAGTAATGGACGCGCCTTTCGCCCTCCGGGACTCGGCCCAGCTCTCCTCGAGGTCGTCCATGATGCGCTCTTGCTCGGCGCTCACATCCTCGGCCGTGTTGCACTTCTGATACCGCTCCAGGAAGGTGCTGCATCCATGGCTCAGATACACGATCATGGACGGCTTATAATCAAGAACAGCACGTACCGGTTAACCTTCCAGAATGAGCCACCCCAGCCGAACCCGCTGAGCAGGCGCTCCGCGTACGCGTCGAAGCCCGTGATGTAAAACGCGGCCGCGAGTGCCTCGACGCAGTTGAGACGCCAGGGCTTGCCGTAGTTGGTCGGGTTCGTCGCGAGGAGGTACGGGACTGTTATTTTTGCCGTCGGACGCGGGTAAGCGTATTGATAGGATCCATAGTAGGAGGAGACGCACGCAGGCGCTCGTGCGGGCTGGCGATCTTGCCGAACGGGACGTCGTCAAGGCGCGCCCAGGAACACTCCACAACGGCTAGCCCACCCTTGAGGATGATTTCTCGGTCAGAGGGACTGATGACTTTAGTGCCTTTCGGGCTACAAAATATAGATAAAGCAGTGTGAGAACACAGGCAAATAAATAGAAGAGACAGAGTGAGAAGAGGTATACGGACAGAGAATGCTCACGAAACGACAATGCCTCTGAAGCGAGAGCCGACTTTGAGCTCCTTTATCAGGCCAAGACGAGAGAGCTTCTTGCCCGAGCAGCGGCGAGGGTCGCAGTGGTCAAAGTCCTACCAAGAGTCGTTATTCAACTTCCTTCCAATTCTGAAAAATATATTAAACATACCCACATGCCAACCGGAACCTCAATTTTCACAGCCTTGTCCTCTTCTATGAGGCAAATCAGTATGAATCTTGAAGGAGACCCGAAAACAACTCACCCTCGTCCGATCCGCTGCCCTCACCGCCCTCCTCATCTCCACTAACCTCGTCCACCGCGCTTTCCGGCCGCCCATCGGCCCTCGATTCTCTTTCGCGTCCCTTATAGTTTGTTGCGCGCGACGAACCTCCGCGTCCGCCACCTCCACGGCCACGTTTGGCCCGCGTCGATGCAGCCAGCGAGCCCGGATTTTTCTTGCCCATTGGGTATTTTAAATGGAAATCGCGTTGACCCTGGAGCTGTATAGCTTCTCTGTAGATTAGGCACTCCGATTGATCGTCCGAACACCCAGCTACTGGCGGCAAAAATAATCGAGATGGCGGGAGACAAGCGCGAATTGGGACGCTCGCTTAGTCAGCCGCAAACTCTCGATGCATCCGACCGTTGCGCTCGCCCGTTTCAAGGCGCGGAGGCCGTTACTCTCCTTCCGCGCGAACAAGGACTACTACAAGGGTCAGAAGCCGCTCTTTCCTCTGTTTTTTGGTGGTCCATGGGGCCTCTTTCCTGTTCTACATGCTGCAATGCATTCATCACTTTGGCACCTATGCAGCTTATCTCTCCTTTTTGCGGTGTATACATCTGCAAGGCATGTATGCTGATGATTTACCTTGCAGGTAACCGGCAGGCGGCTCTCCCCGGTGGACACCGCACAGGCGCGCCCGGTGTGCACATCAACCGCCGGCCAGGCTACCAGCTCCTCGAGAACAAGGTCCGCGTGTTCGTCGCGCCACCGATTGAGGATATCCTCGCTTCCCCAGTGCGCATTTATTCTTGTTTCTACTCTCTTACCCTATCGGGTGGAAGAGGCGACTCGGTAGAAATGGTGCTCATTCAATTTCCTTTCGACAGTTAAAACCCTATATTGCGCCATCCGTGCACCTCTCCCGCACGCAGCGGGACGGCGTGTTCCGCGAGGGGATGCCCGACGGAGGAGTTACGCCTGCGCATTTCCTCTCCGTTGCGAGGAAGCACCATTTGGACCAGGAGCGGGAGCGGAGCAAGGCGGGGCAGGCAAGGGCGGAGGGCGGGCTGATGCTGTAAGCTTTTGAGCCATTTGCGTGCAGATACGCGCCCACAACGGCGGCAAACACAACGCGGCGTGTCGGACGCTACGGTAGTGACGCACAGAAGAGGCGACACGGCGGTATAACGCACGGAGAAGAGCAAACTCGGCGGAGGCGACGCCCGCTGCATATAATACTTTTGCTTAATACCTACAGATGGATGTACAAAAAAAAACGCAACAAACCTCGCCTGCGCACGCCTGCCTGGCTATGACCAGCTACAAAACGCCTCGCGCTTCAGCTCTTGAAATGCCTAGCGTTTCAGCTTGTGAAATGCCTTGCGCTTCAGCTTTTGAATGGCGAGCCCAGGGCACAGTTTAAGTCTAAGTCGGCGTTGCCTGGCCGCCTTGACCGGTTGGCGGGTGTGCTGAATGAGTTATCGAACGGGTTCATGTTCGGGTTCAGCCGTGAGCGGGGCAGCGGGCGGATGACGCGTAGGCGCTTTGGCGACACGTCCATGGAG